CGATGATATCCTCGTCGCTCGATCGGTACTAGCCGTAGTATCGTCATGATGGTGCTGGGACAGTGCAAGGAGCTGTATGACAACAGATGTTGAAGAGCAGCTTCAACGATGCAAAGATAGTGTGAATGGTACGCACTAGCTGACGTCGGAGGAAAATACCCGATATACACTGCGTTGAGACCCTCCGGAGTTAAGTCGGTGTAGTCGGCTTGTCCTTAAGCAAGCCAGTCTACGAGAGACCTATGGTGAAGATGTGGGACACCAAGGTTATGCAAGCCGAGACTACGCCGCAGGCAGACGTGGCCTGATGTGGGTGCATGTAGGCACATATTTGGCACACGTAATAAGTATCATCAACGAGCGTCACAGCTCAAAGTCAGAGCTGAGGCAGTAATCAAAACTTGCTCCGAATCGCGCGTCGACCAGCTCGCATGCAGAAATGCGGCCGCAGTTGGCAACATGCCATCGTACTTGACACTAAGTACTTGTCGAGGTTTTTGGGTTCATTCACAATTCTAAAAGCTTGAATGATCTTGAAGAAGTAAATTTCGGCCCGGACGCAGGCCAACGTCAGGTCCGAGTCGACGCTTCAACTGAAAATTTATGCTGCATGAGAAGGCGCAGCTGCCGAAACTTGGTCGAACACGCATTTCGCATTGAGAAAGTTGTTAGCGGGGTCGCGCGTATCCGTATCTAAGTACTGAGAGAGTCACGTCAAAAATTCCAGCTTTCTGTCTGACGGACGGCGATCTTGCACTGGCTCTTTCTCTCACACCAAGCTGCCTTCATTGTAGCAGAGCAAATCACTATGATTCAACTTGAAGAATCTGCTTTCCCACGCTTGAAGATCCAGATTGGATGTATAATATATTATATAGAAGAGCGAAACAGTCCCTGAGCTACATTTGCCTTTGCTGGAGCTTGTGAGTAATTCGAATGCTGATACAGAAATTGATGCGGCTTACATTTTCACACAAGTCAAATACACCTTCGATCGATATCAAGCCCAAAAGTCGCTGTCTCCACGACAACTGTTCACCCAATGGCCAGCCGTGTCGGTGAGTTTGCTGATGCGAAAACGACTGTCGTGTATGTCCATATTGTCGTATTGTTGCCCCTCTTTCCCTGGGTGAAAAAGGACCAGGACTCGCAAAGACTTGCAATGAGTCAATGCCTTCGTTAATATGCAGACCGGAGCAGGTCGTCCTCCCCAAACATGGAATGCCAGGTGGGTGAGCGCTGGCAAACTGGCAAGGGCCGTCCAATAGCTCCAGTCATCTTTCTCCATCACGCTCCGAATATCGAGGTGCGTAAGTCGAGAGAAAAGACGCGAGCAGGGCCCGGGAATGATAGAACGCATTCCGAACTGCTGATGCTTTTCCCTTTTGCACATATCAACTACATCCACAGTGAGACGGGAGACATGGATCTGCCGCGCTCGCCGCTCGAGCAGTCCTCCAACGCTCCGCAAAAATAGAGAATCGCCCCCCAAAATGAAAACATCCATGATGCTGTTGCATACCGAGAGGATTTTCTCGGCAGGTGAAAAAGAGTAGTCCATCGGGAGCATGAAACCGAGATGCTTCATGTGACCGCGGCGATGCAGGTGGCGGGTGGAATTCGTATCGATTGCGCGGTAGAATTGCTGGCACTGCGTGTTATCGTGCAATACGACAGTGTGATACAATATTGGCTCAAATCTTGGGAGAGTCGAGATGTCAGTGCCTGATGTTCAGGTTGGAGTCAGATAGAGGACAAAGAGACTGACTTCTGATTGAATAATTTAGAGGTTAACGTCAGAGTCATGATCTCCAGTGGTGTTGCCAATTTGGCTATCTCTTGGAGAAGCTCGCAAGGGATAGCGTGAAAACCTTGAATGACGAGAGACATTAGAGAAAATGAGTTGGATGAAGCGGTGGTCACGTCGCTCCGGTAATCTCCGGTACCGATTGACAGTGACACACGTTATGAGTATTACTATTACTAATCAGGAATCCTTTGTCCCAGTTCGACTCAGTCGGCGGAAAGCGAGTGGCAGGTAAATCTTAATAGAGATAGCGAGCACGACTAAAGGATGACCCCGCAGAATGCACATACGGACCTCTGCTGTCCACATTCTTATCTTGTTATCCAGCGCCGCCTTTAGCGCGATGCTCCTGCATGTAGCGCTCTTACTCGCACTTCCTGAAAAGTTTCCTTTTCCACGAACCCGAGGCGCCATTCAGAGCGGGGTTGTTGCGTTCGGTTGCTGGCGCACCGGTGGTTTGGGCCTACTCCACTGCGAACCCGATGAATTCGCGGATCCGGATACCAGTAAAGAAACTCCACTCCCCCCATTTCACCGAAATTTTGCTCTCGATATAACCGGCGCCAAGGTTATATATCCGATGACGAGTGCCACACCGGGTCTCACCACATGGTGTCAAATGAGGCTCTGGTGGACTGGAGGGGAAGCCGATTGTGACCACGAGTTTATTCTCCCCACAGAAATCATTCGGGCAGGGAGAGCGATAGAAGGAGAATGCTGGACGTTCGAGGGCACAACCGGCCAAGTCACTATTCGATTACGCGAAGCTATCAAGATTTCCAACATTACCATCGAGCTATTTCCCTTGATCGACATTAAGCAGTCCCCTCGTCATATCTCTCTCTGGGGCCTAGCTGCGCGAGAAACCTTCGACCCTGACCAGCATACCGTTGTGAAGCCTGCATATTTCCACAAAAACAGTTTTCCTCTTCCGCCAGACGTACACCCTCACGATAGTTTTGTCCTTTTGGCTCAATTCGAGTACAAATTGTCAACTCAATCGCTCCGATTTCAATCCCACGAGCGGAGTTTTCCTGTTTCGCACCCCAGTGTTCTGCCCGATATCAGGGTGATAACTCTGGATGTGAGGAGCAACTGGGGTTCGGAGTCGACTTGTCTCTCTCGGGTGCGAATCTATGGAGGACCAGCGCACAGTAACCAGTAGGATCAATTACATTTAGGTGTCACGATGAATCAATCACTGTATTCAGGGCCCATATAGCCTTAGGCTCCATAGCCAGACACCATCAGACGCTGTGGCTATCCCAACGCTAGCCGCCTAGCCAAACGCCTACCCAGAGCTACCAAAAGCTACCCAACCGGCAGCTAGCCGCACAAACTGATAACCCGACTGCAATCCGGCGAGGCGGCTCCGCCTAGCCGACTAGCCGGAGCTCGCCTAGAGTGCATAGCCGAGCATAGCCATACCGAACCGGATCTGGCCGTGGCGTCGGCTATCGGCCGGCTGAACGCAGTGGATCCGCGTGGATCCGCTCTATACTTTAGGATCTGGAGGCAAGACCCTTCTAACAATTCGTTCCTCCGAAGCGTGCTGACTGACAACTTAGCTAAGTCTAAATTTGGAGGCGACATGAAATGTCAGGGCCACAACTTGGTAGAAAACTTGTACGGGCATCAAGAGACTAGGCAGCCACCCTTGGGCGACCCTTCCAAGCATCCGCCATCCGTCTCGGTTGAAGTCCGAGTTCCTGCTCCTCCAGTACGGGTGGTTCACAAACCGGCTCTAGACCAAGAGCAACCTGTGCAAGATCGTCGAAAGCGATTCGGACTGAGATAAGAATGGAATACACACGAAAGTCCATGCGACGTCGTACAACTTGTCGTACAAGCAAGAGGAAAAATCTCGCAGGGAATCGATTGAAAGATCGAGGTCAGATCGCTCGAATACTGGAAGTGCCAGCGCTTCCGATACTAAGCGTCAATGGCGGCAGACACGAGAAGAAATTGAAGTTGTACAGACTGGAATCCAGAGGCACGCAGGGACCGCCTCACAAGCTATCAGACATGTAGCAGGCCGCGGCTGGACCACGAGCCCAACCATAATTCACGAATCGGAGGTGGTGTGCATTGCGGTCGGAGACGGGATAATGATGAAACAACGTACGCAGTGTTTACAAGCCGGTCGATAGAAGTCTGTTGAGAGCAAAAGTTAGCGTGATGTTTGTGCAATGTAAGGGTAAATCCAGCCTCCAGTGGCACGCAGGGACCGCCTCGCAAGCTATCGGACATGTAGCAGGCCGCGGCTGGCAACGCGGGCCCACCCATAATTCACGAATCGGAGGCGGTGTGCATTGCGGTCGGAGACGGGATAATAACAAAACAACGTACGCAGTGTTTACAGGCCAGTCGATAGAAGTCTGTTGAGAGAATAAGTTAGCGTGATGTTTGTGCAATGCAAGGGTAAATCCAGCCTCCAATGACACGCAGGGACCGCCTCGCAAGCTATCGGACATGTAGCAGGCCGCGGCTGGCACCACGAGCCCACTCATAATTCACGAATCGGAGGTGGTGTGCATTGCAATTGCGGACGTCGACGGAGACAGGAGAATAACAAAACAACGTACGCAGTGATTACAATGACCGGCATCAGAAGCAGAGAGTAAACGAGGAAGCGACGGACAGCATGTGCGCTGATCTTCGCAAGTTTCTGGGCACAGTTGCTCGATGAAGTTGTGCAGAGACCAGCGACGGAATGTGTACATGTTTGTGTGTTTGACCTTGTTGGGCCAAGCCAATTCAGCGCACGGACCTCCGGAGGCGCAATTATCGTTCTGTGTGGTGGAATCTGGTGGAATTGCTTGCCGATGCGCCACCCACAAAATTTATTCACATCGTTGAGGCATCCTTCAAAACGAACGAACACTGACCCAGACCACTGTAAACCCACACTACTGTAGTATTTCATTCAATTCGTAGTCACGCGTCACACCCACTTTCTTATTGCGGCAATAATTTTATCTCGATTTGTTGGAATTCTTTTGGATTTTAATTGTATCATTTTTTCCGAATCGAGTACGAATTGATCGCTACAGTATTATGGAAGTTGGAACAACTTGAATCACTCGTCGAATGAAGCATTGAATGTCCTCCGTCCCGTTGCCGTCCCTTTTTCAGAATAACGGGCCCGGGACGGGCAGTGGGTAGCTACCCACTGCACTCCCTGTAGCTCCAAGGGAGTATGGTGTAAGGGGTTAACACGGCTTTTGTTCTTGTATGCAGAACTCCAGCAGCCCGAGGTTCGATTCCTCGTACTCCGTTTCTTTTTTAACCTCCATCCGACCAGCCCCCAGTCCGAGTCGACCTCCAGCAGCCCGAGGTTTATTTTTGAACTTCAATCCGACTAGCGAGCCAGCCCTCAGCCCGACTCTCCAAATGAACCTCCAAGTGAACCGTGGCCCCTAGGCCTTCAAGTTTTTAAAAAAAACAAAGTCTATGTAACACGGGAAACCGTCCGACTTATTATGTCTTTAATACAGGAAGTGTCGGTTCTGTTGTGACAATCAGTGTGCGTATTGCAGAGACACGGTCAACACCTACCTTGACAGCAGGAAGAGCGTGGAAGATTGTTTCTGATTGTTCTGTATAGACAAAATGGCCCAGAATCTTCTCTGCTGTGAGCAAGATAGTCTGCGAGAATTGATTGTAGAAAAGTCCACCGCCACCGATGGGAAATTCTCGAAAATAATCCAGATGAGCGTCGTCTCCCTCGACCTGCCTATAGACTTGCACAACGACGAATGTCTTTGTGGAATTGCGAGTGAGCGCATACGAGAATATGTTACGAATGCAACCGGCGGACCACACGGCAGGAATAGCTTCATCCAGAACGAACACAATTTTGCTGTTTCCAAAATTGTTTTTGTCCGTTTGAAAAGTTTGGCCCATGAGGACTATTTCCGTCCGAAGGAAGACCCGAAACATATCTCGGCTGACGTTCTGTGTGACCAACCACGCTTGTAGGAGTTTCATGGGTCGATCCTTCAAGATTGTTTCTTGTGCGGTGCTCCAGTCCTTGACATCAGAAAGCGTCCTCGAAGCTTCCTCGAGGCCTCTCGAATCATTCAGCAAAGTGCCTTGTTCTCCGCTGTTGAAAGTTTTTTCAAAATCGGGGAGTAGGGCATGAACGGCCTCCGGTAACAACTTGGGTTGCATCAAGGCCCGCAAATTCTGACTCATGCAAAAACGATTGAGCATGGTCAACTCCATCTCACCTAGAGGGAGAAAACAAACATGAAAAAAACTGTAAGAAAGTCGCCGACAGTACTCACCAAACTTCTTGTTTGTAGGAATCTGCTGTAACCGGTTGTTATTACGCTCGAAAGGCCAGCAACGGTACCCATGACCTGGCCCCAAGCCCCTGAGCATTGGTCCATAATGGAGAGACAGGTGCTGATATGGTGTGATGGACGTTCCGGGGTAAAGTCGCAGGAGAGACACGAGATATTTCTCCATGTACATCTCGTATAAATCAATACGAGCTGGAGTCAGATATCTTGCCGTCGCAAGGGTCACGGCCGCCTGAAGGTACATGAAATTTTCGAGCCGTCGGCGTTGATGGCTGTCAGGCGGGAAAGGCCCCCAAAGTCGAATAAGTGTAATGACCAAGTGAACGGAGCAGAATGCCTTCCACTGATCTGCAGTCATTTTCCCCCATTTACTTTCACCTGGATGTGCGGGACCTTTGGCCATCCATGATGGGAACCGGCTCCGCTGCATGTCCTTACGAATTTCTGCAAGAGTCTGGCGGCCTAGCACCCGTGTGGATCCGCGTTTAACGGGTCGGTAACCATCTGCGTCAGGTCTACGAGCAGCAGCTGCTAAGGCCTGCCCCGCTTTGACGACACTGACGGGTTTTCCGGCGCTATTTAATGTACCGTCCGCCATTCGCTGAGACAAATTCAAACTGAGTCACTGATACTACGCCGAGAATAAAATAAGACTTACACGTTTATGGATCATGTTTTGAAGATCAGTCTTGTTCATGCTCTCGTAAGGAACTTTAGCTTTTTTGAACTTCGCCGCCTCCTCAGGCATGATTTCATCAAATATGATAACCGAAACGGCGACCAGTGCCGATTTGCCCATTTGGTTCAATTTTGTCTTGTAAAAATTGCGATATGCATCCTGGGCAGCCTCAAGTGTCACGGCGGCCTCGGGGACCACACGGGAAGATTTGGCGTTGACGTTTGAACTGGGGGTTGCTTGGATGCCGGTGGAAACGGCACTCTGAGGTAGCACAGAAGGCCCAGCAGTGGTGGGCGGCAGTATGGCGGTTGCATTCTGACGAGGTAGCACAGAAGGCCCAGCAGTGGTGGGTGGCAGTATGGCGGTTGCATTCTGACGAGTTGCAGGAGGGTGGTCGCCGCTCTCTGTTGTAACTGAAAGCCGGGCACCTTTTGCGTCGAACCATCCCCGATCGATGCGCTAGTTTATCTAGGTTTACTGTATCCGACTTTAATGAAAGTGCACGGAAACTCACCAATTGAAGCAGGTCCCTAAGTAATCTCCTTCTTCGGCCACGACCCCCATATTGCGCACCATTTTCCTGGCAAAGAGCCTGAAGAACCTTGGTCGGTAGTTGTAGTAAATGTGGTGTTGTCCCAGATCTGAAGATCTTTCTTGCATCGGCCAGGATGGCCTCCGTCACAACAATCTTTTTGAAAGTGAGTCCTTGACCATCGGCAAAGTCAATGTTCATCCCCCAAATTTCGCGGCAGTGACGTTGGAACATTCTGAGGTAAAATCCATGCATCGCGTCGATCGTGGTCATCATGATTGCATTCCAGTACGTCAATTCCAACAGAGGGGACCACCGCACTCCATGTGTGGTAATGATGAGCTCCCTTTCTTCCTGCGTGCTTGCATCACGCCATTTTGCAGCGATTTCCCGATGCTTGTCCCAGTCACGAGGGATCCATGTTTTGTATTCGAGGTTGTCAATGTCTGCAAGCTGTTGCTCGCAAATATGGCAAAAGTGTTGGGAGCTAAAATGGGAAAACCCCGCCATCTGAAGGGCGGCGGGAAGGTCGCAGACAAGAGGAGCCAACGCAGCCTTGACGCGCCTGCCATTCGCGTGTAGCGACGTGCGACTAAGATAAATCCCTTCTTCCCACAGTAACTTGAGATCTTTTATCAGAGGCGGCAAAAGATAGTTCATCTGGTGTCGGGAAGGTTCATGTGGTCCTGGGATGATTCCAACCAGGCACATATTCTCCATTTTATACCGAATGGTTGCAGGGAGGTTCAAACAGGCCAGGTATATGGCTCCGATAGAGACCACCTTTCCGGCGGTCTTATTTCCAAATGGATTAAGACCATCTTCATTGAGACTCAGAAGGATTCGACCCTCTGTGCCTGGCATCCGCAAGAATGGCAGGCCGTCGGAGCCCAAGAAGTTCTGCAGGTCGCAGGAGTCCAATATATCCCAGGTTTCGTCGGGCTCTGCATCTGCGGGCCGGTGGCTACTCTGATCGAGATAGGGTTCCAAATCTGGGCGAGCGTATAATCGGCCTAACCAATGCTTGATGTCATGGTATAGGAAAGTGCGAGTCGGGGTCCAAAGTTCGGAGCCATTGCTGCGCCTATACAACCTCCGTAGACGTCTACCGCACTCTGGCCCATCAGGCTCTTCGCGATTGGTGCATTTTTCTGGATAGAGCAACTCGGATGTAATTTCATATAGATGAAAGCACCGAGGACAACAGACGAAGGACAGGGTAGTGGGTCTGACGGTCAAACGGTCGAGAACTGTATTGATGTCTTTAGGAATGCCGTGTGGGTTATCGGTGGCTATTTCAGATGGATATAGGCGGTGGAGGAGGTTGGCGGAGGTTAAGACGAAATGAGAATCTCGCTCAGAGATTCCACATAATAAATGAAGCACCGAGACCAAGAGGTACCATATAACGATCGTGGGGTGTGAGAATGCAGAAAAAGGGCCTCTGCTGTATGCATCTAGATCCGTTACTTAATATATACGAATCGCGACAAATAACAAGAACCCACCTGTTTTGATGAAATTCGGTTGTGCCGCCGCCCATGCTGTCACTGTTATTTCGTGGAGACATCGGAGCATCGCAGAAATTTCGTTCAGCGCTGTTTCAGCTTGGGGAACACTGTATGAGGGGAGATTGGGGAAATGCTGTTGGATGTCCGCTTCGATTCCTTGAAGGCGGGATGTAAACTCGAGGAGAGCTGAATTTTCGGGAGCATCGCCGACCAAGTGGTAAGTCGGATGCTGTTCACTCATCGGCTGGGAAAACACTAGTCCACGAGGGCCTATAATGCTCTCAGTGGGTGGTGCATCACCCAAGAACGTGTGGAGTTCGGAAATAAGGGCAAGGGTTTCCCTGTGGGCGAGCTCCTTTCCGTCGGGTTTCGGTTTCGGTTTCGGTTTCGGTTTCGGTTTCGATTGTGATGATTCCGATGTTGATTCCACAATCAACACAGAGGGTGACTTGTCCGGCAACGGCGACTGTATACTGGGGATAAATGTCGCAGCGATGCGCTGTCGGGCTAGATCTGCCTGTACGTGTTTACTGCGCTCCAAAGCGCTCATAGCAACGCCTGGAATGCCGTTGCCAGTGTCTGTCGCGTGCTTCGAGGCTTTGCAAATTGAGCAAATACAGAAGATGCCGGGAACTGGTCGTGGGGGCGGGCCCGGCGGGGTAGAAGTCATTCTACCGATGGTACCTAGTATGCGTCGTAAAGTGCGGCAGAGTCAAAATTACATTTGGATGTACTTTCAAGTTTGTTTGCTTTGAATGTGAGCTGGCATGGAACGGATTGGAAGAGGGAGGCCTGTTATCAATTCAATCAGTTGAATCGGCCAATAGAATTGCGTGGCAACTTCCTACCAGGTTGTACTTCAAGTTACATACTAGTAGTCCGCCGGCTGCCTCCGGCGGCTGTTGTCCTCAGCCTGAAAAGCGAAATAAAAGCGAGGCCGTGACTACATCCTTCATTGCTGGCGGCGCCGAAGCAAGCAATTGCAAAGAGGATGATGTTTGGGCGGCAAGAACGTTAAGTCTTGCTTGGCTGGCGGCCGTAGGGTCAAGTTGATCGCGCAATCGCGCAATGCGGTCACAACCAGGAAGGCCAGAGGGTTCCACGAATTCTCGACGGTGTGTACTAGAGCCTCCTGAAGAATAACTAAATAACTGAATTACCACATTTACGGTGATCAACTTTCTGTACTAAGTACAGTCGCAAATATAAACAGCGAGGAACGAGCTAGGTTATAGCGTCTGTCTGAGAG